TTCCCCCCCCCCCCCATACCGCACAAATCGTGCTCCGATCGAAAAATAGCGACAAGCACATGATTATAGTAGAGAGCGTTGTTTCGCTAGCGACTGAATGATCGGCAAGCGTAGCTTATCAAATGTTTTAGAAACTGTTACCGCGTCTGTAAAAGGCGGATATAAGGTTTCTGTCGAAATTTTCAATTGTCTGCGTAAATTTTTCACCGAACTACAACAAAAGAACAAAATTGGAAATAATAAAAGCATAGTTTTCGTAAATTTTCCCGTTTTTCCTACGTTTTATACCGGTTTCGCTTATTGATTGGGAAAACTCCCGGGAAAATTAAAACAAAAAAAAAATGGCATTTCTAAAGTACCGCCCCAGGGTGGTTCCCTTACAGAAGACGTGCTACGATTGACACTTCAGAGAAAGATTTCTCGTAGAATTTTCGTGTACAGTAAAGAAAATATAAAAATAAAACATCATCGCACAATCAAAATCGATATTTTCTGGTTTTAACAATGGATAATGGTAACGCGTGGTATCGATTTGGTTTTGCCATAGCCGAAAACGAAAAGAAAACGTTATGTGAACCGCGGACTAAGATAGAATGGACTGAAAACAGCGCGGTCGACGGGTGACGGGGTGGCGGACTTCTTATTGCCAGTGAGCGGTAAAGGCCGCGGGGAAACTTACGCATTCTACACTAACGCCACCTAGTAATCGAATACGACATTTATATAGATATTCGACTATTAGCCATGAGCACGGACCACGGATTCTTAACGAGATGATGGGCGGGTGATGGGGGAGTGGGACGCGGAACGTAGCGCTTGTGTAGAAAACATGCAGTCCGTTCCTCGCTCCCTCCTCCTCGTCAATACACCACACTCGGAGACACGAGCGGCCCAGTGATAAGAAAAATATAATGACAACAAATATTAATAGTTTTGATTTATAATCCACTTTTTTATGTTATCATACAAAAGCATGGTTTTTTTTTTTTTTTTATTAACATCCGAACATATATCATATATATATATGGGATTTGAGATATATTTGAGATTATTAACTCCTTAATTATTTTGTTTATCTTCAGAATTATGTAGAAGAAATTACCATACTCGAATTCTCGTGTCTCTATCACTTTTTTCGGTAAACGTCCTCTATTTTTGTGTATCTTTTTTCGTTTGATCAAGGATTTGTTTGTGCAAGCGGTACAGTCAGATCCACCTCGCATTCCCTGGCGCTTATCGAATTCGATTGAACATGTCTGCATAAATTGTACCAATCAACATTTATACCGTCACAATATTCTCCTCGTCCTGTTCAAGTATACCCTGTTGCAAAAACGTCTGTATTATTGCTCCGATAATTTGTGTCACGCGATAAAATAGAATAAATAAATCGATTGAAAAAAAAAAAAACAACCGCCCACGTATATGTATTATTCAAATTCTGCCCTGTACACGCGGTCCAATTCATCTGAATGACGATCAATATAAATCCGGAACGAAGGTATTATAATAACAATAATTGTCATTTTGTCGTATTATTATTGAAATGTCTTCGCGTGATGTTCTCCCGGATTTATTTAAACCGTCGTCGTTGTCGTGGTTGTCGTCGCCCGTGCGTGCTGATAAATTTATCCGGAGGGGCGTGTGCTTTAAAGAAAATTAAAAGCTCCTAGAGGGAAAAGTTCAATATTAGTTATTAACACTCTAAACCTGGTGATGAGAGGTCCGCGAGAAAGGTGTGGTAATAAATATATATATTTTTTTTTTCTCGCTGTGTACCCGTGAAGTTTTTAGGGCATCCAAAGTTTTTGGATTACTACCGCCGCAGCCGCCGCTCAGAACGTCACACAGTACCCGAGATGATTTATCGTTTTGCTACTTTCAATTATTATTTTCTTATACCGCGACCGGACCATGTGTAGGGAATGCGCGCGTCTAATGACGCGAAGAAAAATCATATGTATATATATATATATACATTTTTACAATATTTTATAAATATATAAAATAAACATTTAATATTTTAGCGCGTCTATTAACATTGATTTTTTTTTTTTTTTTTTATTTGTTCATAACTATAACTGTCATCGCCCGACGTTGCCAGCCGTAGGTTATCCGAAACGGCCCGCCATCAAATGTGTACCCATTATACTTATCTACGTATATTTTTGAATCGACATTTCTCCGCCAATATTCCGCCATCTTCATAAATGACAGGGAAAACACTAAACGAATCATTAGGCAAGCGGGAACCACCGTCCGTTTTTATAATAATAACGATAATTTTTTTTTTTTTTTTTTTGTTACCTGTTTACAACAGAATTATGCGAGGGAACCCGAAAATAGATGTGAAAAAAAAAAGTTCCATAATCGATTATACAAGACAACTGTTTTATTTCTTTAGCGTGTGTAAATTGTAATTGTCAGACAATATCAACAAACAAATAATTTTCGTATTTTAAAGCTAAAATTCGTATGTGACCCATCCCCCTTAAGGGAATCAACTCTCAATGACAATAAGTAAACAACGACATACCTTTTTGTTTTTAAAGTCAATAATTATAAAAAATGTGATCGTGTACATCATGAAACGTAATTAAATTAGACGTGGAATAATTTTCCAATTTCAATCCAGCAAAAATGCTTAACAAATTGAAAAAAGGTTCATTGTCATTCTTGGTAAAAGAATAAAAGTCGAACGTAATGTATATGTACATTTTTTTTATAAGCAATTAGATTAAAATGTTATAGATATCGGCAAAAATCAAGAAATTTAAAAAAATAAAATTGGTTTTTGTCTCAATAAAAAAACAACGATTTTACACCGAAAAACAAAGACAATCGTAATTTATTTTGTAGGGAAAAATTATTGCAGTTTAGATTCAGAAAGAATTGAAGAATCGAGTGGTTTAACATTGACTTATCTAAAATCCTCCTGGGAAAATCAAAAATATGACTTTGTTAAGGTACCTCTCCGGTCAGGTTTCTTTTCGGAAATAGTGATATTATTAAGAATCGGAGAAAAATTGTTAGTAGAGAATATTATTGTAAAACCAAATCATTCCACAATTCACTACACACAAGAGTGTAGTATAGTATTTAAATGTAATATATATTTTTTTACCTTTTAATCTCACTGAACATTTGGCACAGTCTATATTCGTATTGATAATTGAAAAAGCGATAAGTTAGGAGAGTCGACGGGGAAAGACTGTACCGGACAGTCCCGATTATTACTGAAATGTAAATAACAATGATATTTGTGCCCGTATTTTGAAATGTAGTACTACAAACCATTTTGGTACTAAATGTTTTTTAAATTGTATTGATGGTTTAGATAATAGCTAATCTAATTGTATTAATTAAGATAATAAGTTATATTCGGTGTTTATAAACTATAACAGCCTAAATCATTTAATCAGTACATTCAACTGAGAATATGAAATTAATATTAATGTTGAACCAAATAGTGCTTTGGGTAAGTTCTTTAAGAAATAAAAAGAATTTATAATTTTAATGTATACCTACAATAAAATTAAAAGTAACAAAGGTAAAAAAAATGTAAAAATAATATCACTAGAGGATTGATTATTTCAATTAAATTTAGAGAAAAATACTTTGTTGGGGTATTTATAGGTATGATTATATCTGAAGATAAAAAAAAAAAAATGGGTTTTTGAAATTAGATTGGACCAGTATTAATTGGTGTGCGGGCATTGCCAAAAATCTATTATTATTTTATTGGTCCACTGTTACCTAAATTGAAATAATTCATTTTCTTAAGAATTTTAAAAAAAATGTCAACTATAACATAAATTTGATTACTAATAAAGTTCTCAGAAATATTAAAATACAAATTATAAATAAAACATTTGAAAAAAATATCTGTTAAGATGAAATAGTCGTCTCATATTAAATTGATAAATTAGTTATAAAAAATACCTATTCACATTTGAGATTCAACCATAATATTATTTGTTCTTTAATTAGGTAATAGAAAATAACATAAACATTTGTAATTTACAAAGTCCATAGGAAAAAAAAAACAAATATGATGTAAAAATGTTGGCATNAAGATATTAAATTTTTCCAGAATTTTTTTTCTAAAACATTTAAGAAAACAAACACGTATATACAAGCAGTCGATAAATAGATCAAATATTAGTTAAAATAAATATTACTGTTGACATTTCTTATTTTTGTCACATCCTTGACCAGATATTCCACTTTTAAGTTTGGATTGGAGAAAAGTAGTGGTGCATTATTAACACACCACACAAATGAAACTATACTACTCTCTTCCAAACCAGACTATAAAGTGGAATATCTCGTAAACAAATCTACGGAAATCAAATATTTCAACTAATAGTCCATCCATTTATGGAATTTTTAATACAAGTAGCAATTTATAAATCAAAAATAGGTAGTTGTTTTACCCATAAAAATAACATATATTTAAATTGTAGAGCTGCTTGTTTCTTAAAGTTAAATGAATGTATCCACTTAAATGAATCACTCGGTATAGTGTTCATTATTTTAAATAATCTTCGGTTCTAAAGCATATTGATGTGTTGTTGAAGTCACCATAACCCAGACGTATTGTACCTTTTAAGAATTCTTTGATAGTGGCCAGAACTGGGCACGTTGTTTGCAACGTATTTGACCAATTTAGTATTAGGTTTATATCCGTTTGTAGATGTTTTAAAGTATGATCTTTTTGGGAATTTTTGTCTACTATTGCTTGTCCATTTTCTAGCAATATTGGGCTATTAAATGATGTAAATCCTAAAATATCTATCACATCTTTTAATTCCATACCACCTGTGTTAGCTAAAGCCATGGCTTCAGCCATTCCTATAATAGATATTGCTTTCATCGTATTTAAAATCAAATTCATCTTAGTAGCATACCCAATGTCAGCTTTATAAAATGAACTTTTAGCGATGGCACAAAATACTGACTGACAATCATCAAATAATTCTTTATTTCCAGCAGCAATGATAACTAAATTTCCAGATTCTGCTTCAGTTATACTTCCTTGGATCACAGCTTCCATATAACGACCTTGCTTTTTTGTAACAGCCTCATTAATATCGTTAGATGTTTTTGGATCAATACCAGTCATTTCCACAAATGATTTCCCTTTCTTTATTTCAGCAAGTATTCCACCGTTTCCAAGTACCAAATCTTTAGCAACTTTTGGGTTGGAAACACAAGAAAATATTATATCTGAACGAGAAACTACATCAGATGGAGTTAATGCACAAATAGCACCAAGATCTTCAAATTGTTTACACTTCTCCTTGGATCGATTCCATAAAACCACTGAATGCCCAGAACTCATTAGATTTTTAACAATCCTCGATCCCATGTTACCCAGTCCAATAAATCCAAATGTCATTTCACATAGATAAGTATCCTTACAAGAAATCTTTGATATGTCTGTTAGAGTAGATTTCGCCATTGTAACTTCAGGTCTGTCCAACAAAGTACTCTTTATTTGTTGTGTACCCAAGTGGTTGTTTTTTAATCCAAAATTTGTTGTATATCCGTGTTGCAAGAAAATGAATTTAGGCGTGCTCTTTTTGATTAACCATTTGTGTCATCTGAGTTAGAAGAAGACAGCGATTCTGAAATTAAAGTTTTAATTTTATTAAATAACTTTGCATGTCGATTTGTCCATTACCGCAATATAATGGTTCTGTTAAATTTATGATAAATTGTCTGACATAATTCATAATAACTAATATTTTTGGTTCTGTAAGAATAAATTTAAATTAAATTTATCAACATCTAAATTTATTCATTTTGAGTTTTATTTGTACAATGTTTTTACAAATAAAAATTTAACAGTTCATTTGTTAAACTGTATACCTTATTGGAATTCAATCTGTAATACTAAATGCATTAATCTTGAAAAGTATTAGAAATTAAATATCTTGGATTAATTCTTGATTATAAGCTAACATGGGACAGGCATATTGACTTTTTCAATAATAATTTATGTGAATTTCTCTATATATCCAAAGAATCTAGAATTATGTTTAATATTTATTATACAATAATTATTTATATATCACTATTTAAATTTTTGAGAACTTATTAACTGGTTTATCAATTTAGGAAAGAACCTATTATATCCATTTATCTTGATTCAATGTTTATCTTAATTCTATTATAGAATATTTATTAAATTTACCTTTTCAAACATGCACTAGTATAATATATAAGGCACTGAATGTAAAAAACTTTAAATTTATTTATAATTTTTTTGTTCTGATAGATTTATTTAAATATAAACATTCAATACCAACATTTGATCATAAACATAAAACTAGATTCAAACAAAATATTAATATATGCTTACCAATTTGTACTATAGTTTTTGGTCAAAAAAGTAAATTTTATATTGGCTCAGTATTGGTAAGTACCTATACCTTCGGAGATTTCTTTACTCCCTTTTATAAAATTATCATTATAATTATAATTATTCCTTTATTAGTCAATAATTTAAACATTTCATCTAATCTGAATTTAATGGTTAATGGTACTGTCCAAAAAGAGTTGGCCATGGGTATGACACCTTTGGTTAATTTAATTCTCATTACACCTGGCAAAGTACATATACCTTCCAAGATTTCTTTATTCATTTTTATAAAATTATCAAACTCAATTGAATATTTCACATTTACTTTATTTACTCTTATAATTAAGTTTAAAGTTATTTAAGTGTTCAAACCTAATATAAGGCACAATTTAAATGATCCTATATGAAAAATTTTAAATGAGTTTTAATTTTTTTTATTTATACATTCTAAAAGAACAGTACCGACTAATTTTAGTTTATAACCACAATACGATTATATTTTAACTTTAGTTTTTATAATTTTCTTTTTTTTATTTTTAAGCTTATTATACAACCTTAATGGTAATATGTTAGTCTCTGCACCAGAATCTAATTGAAAATGTATTTCAATACCATTAACAAAAATAGTTTGAAACCATTTTTTCCCATTAATTCCATCATTTTTAATTTGATTAATTTCAAAAGTATATTTGACGTCATTGTCACTATCTGATTCATTTTCTACTGTATTAATTATGTTTTGTTTGTAAGAAGACAAGTTAAGTTATTTTGTTAGTAAAATTTTTTTTACCTTATTAGTTTTTGTTGCAGAAACTACTTTAGTTTTACACAAATTAGATATATGGTTTAATTAATTACATTTAATAAAAGTTTACCTGGTAAAGTTGGTGATGGTGACGACACTTTGTGTGTTTGTGATGTTGAAGTGTCCGACTTGTATAATACATGTGTTTGTTCATAATGTGTACTTGTTTCATTATCACTGATAACATAATAAGTTATATTGCAGTGATACCACACGTAGTACATTAATGATTTTTTAATTTAATTTTTTTTAATCGCCAATTATGATATTATTTTTTGAGAAATTAACCGTTCTCGTCCAAATTTAAAATTCCCGTTTCCACTAATACACCTGCTATGGTAAAATTATCATCAAGATTTTCTAGAAGACCCTATCGTTACATATTGATGTTTTGTACATATAAAAAAAAAAAACCGGTACACGTCGAAAGGTATATAGCGATTTGGATGTTCAATGAGAACGTTACAATTATGGTCACCAAACCACTGATTTATATCAATATAACTGATAACTGTTAACTGATTACATAGTTTACCTACTTCATTTTGAAATTGTTAATAAAATAAAATTATTAATAATAATATTAATTCATTAATATTTAAATTTGAATTTTCTTATTTTCCTGTATATTCGAACTCACTTCGAATGGGGAAAACAAATTTAATCAAAATAAATAAAAAAAAAAAAAACTAATTTAAAAAAATAAATATTCATAATCAATTTTGCACTTATTATTTTTTCGAGCGTGTTCAACGGGCTATATTATTCGAGCGTGAACTGCAGGCCATTTACTTTTCCGTGCCTAGCCCGCCGTGATTCTCACACAATAATATCGTTTAGGAAAAAAATTTAAATTATTTTTTATAATATTCTAAAATAAAAACTCAATTAGAAGGCATAAAATAATTATGTGTCCATTGTCTTATTGTTATAAAAAAAAAAAAAACATCGTATAATTATTTTCCGCGATGAAATAATAATAAAATACAATTTTAAAAAANCACACAATAATATCGTTTAGGAAAAAAATTTAAATTATTTTTTATAATATTCTAAAATAAAAACTCAATTAGAAGGCATACAATAATTATGTGTCCATTGTCTTATTGTTATAAAAAAAAAAAAACATCGTATAATTATTTTCCGCGATGAAATAATAATAAAATACAATTTTAAAAAAATCTGATACTGGGAACGGGTGCAGCCACTGTTGTAGGTGGGAAATGGAAAATTAGGGTGCATAATGTTATTTCATTTATATCTGCAATTAACGATAAACCATTGCTGACGAAAGACGATTCTAAGCGCAGTTCGGTAATACATAATTAGAAGTGCCGTAATTTTTTTTTGCGATATTCATTTAAATTTGATTTCGAAACGCTTATTAAAAAAAAAATATTCTATTGGATGAAGTATTGGGTTCACCCGTACGAATTTGAAATTCTTTTCCTTGCCATATGCTCTTGGTTTCCCATTTAAAGATCATCTTTCTTATGTTAATCGTTTATTAATAAATACTTTTGCTTTTTTCGGACCAGGTGCTAAGTAAGTTGTTTGCTGATAGTTTAGATGTTTTACTGTTGTGGATTAGATTTTTTCATTTCGATTGTTTCAAGTTTTGCTATGATTTTTTGCTATGAGTGTGGCTAAAATTTTGTCCGTTTGCTTCTATTACATTTACGTTGTGTATTGAGTTGATTTTAAAACCGATTTCTTTCACGATTTCCAAACAGTTTTCATTGGGTGTTTGGGGTATACCAGTTATACCAATGCGTCTAATGAGGTTCGATTGTCCTGTGGTATCAAATTTATATTTAATAATCGAAATTTCGTTTAATAAATAGGCATTTAAATTTTTCATTTTTACATTTTCGAGCTTTAGATTTTTTACTTCATTCGGCATCAAATCGACCGTACTATTAAAGTAACCTGCTCACCCATGAACTCGACAGATTCTATAAGTTCTTTTATTTTAGTTACAACAATTTCTGGTGGTTAGGTTTAGTTTGATTGTGATCACTGCAGGCAAATATTCTCCTATTCGGTGTAGACATTTTTTTAAAATTGGTTTCTGTCATACCCGCGGAATAAAAATGTAATAATTTTCGCATATATTACATTCAATAGAATCTTCTTTGCGTATTAATTCCTCTGAACATTTGGCACAGTCTATATTCGTATTGATAATTGAAAAAGCGATAAGTTAGGAGAGTCGACGGGGAAAGACTGTACCGGACAGTCCCGATTATTACTGAAATGTAAATAACAATGATATTTGTGCCCGTATTTTGAAATGTAGTACTACAAACCATTTTGGTACTAAATGTTTTTTAAATTGTATTGATGGTTTAGATAATAGCTAATCTAATTGTATTAATTAAGATAATAAGTTATATTCGGTGTTTATAAACTATAACAGCCTAAATCATTTAATCAGTACATTCAACTGAGAATATGAAATTAATATTAATGTTGAACCAAATAGTGCTTTGGGTAAGTTCTTTAAGAAATAAAAAGAATTTATAATTTTAATGTATACCTACAATAAAATTAAAAGTAACAAAGGTAAAAAAAATGTAAAAATAATATCACTAGAGGATTGATTATTTCAATTAAATTTAGAGAAAAATACTTTGTTGGGGTATTTATAGGTATGATTATATCTGAAGATAAAAAAAAAAAAATGGGTTTTTGAAATTAGATTGGACCAGTATTAATTGGTGTGCGGGCATTGCCAAAAATCTATTATTATTTTATTGGTCCACTGTTACCTAAATTGAAATAATTCATTTTCTTAAGAATTTTAAAAAAAATGTCAACTATAACATAAATTTGATTACTAATAAAGTTCTCAGAAATATTAAAATACAAATTATAAATAAAACATTTGAAAAAAATATCTGTTAAGATGAAATAGTCGTCTCATATTAAATTGATAAATTAGTTATAAAAAATACCTATTCACATTTGAGATTCAACCATAATATTATTTGTTCTTTAATTAGGTAATAGAAAATAACATAAACATTTGTAATTTACAAAGTCCATAGGAAAAAAAAAACAAATATGATGTAAAAATGTTGGCATTTAATAAAATGAAAAATACATACATTCTGTTTCATTATAAATGTAATGAAATGAATAACATAATACCAGGTGATTCATTTAAATGAGTACAATCAATTTTCTTGGAAGATATTAAATTTTTCCAGAATTTTTTTTCTAAAACATTTAAGAAAACAAACACGTATATACAAGCAGTCGATAAATAGATCAAATATTAGTTAAAATAAATATTACTGTTGACATTTCTTATTTTTGTCACATCCTTGACCAGATATTCCACTTTTAAGTTTGGATTGGAGAAAAGTAGTGGTGCATTATTAACACACCACACAAATGAAACTATACTACTCTCTTCCAAACCAGACTATAAAGTGGAATATCTCGTAAACAAATCTACGGAAATCAAATATTTCAACTAATAGTCCATCCATTTATGGAATTTTTAATACAAGTAGCAATTTATAAATCAAAAATAGGTAGTTGTTTTACCCATAAAAATAACATATATTTAAATTGTAGAGCTGCTTGTTTCTTAAAGTTAAATGAATGTATCCACTTAAATGAATCACTCGGTATAGTGTTCATTATTTTAAATAATCTTCGGTTCTAAAGCATATTGATGTGTTGTTGAAGTCACCATAACCCAGACGTATTGTACCTTTTAAGAATTCTTTGATAGTGGCCAGAACTGGGCACGTTGTTTGCAACGTATTTGACCAATTTAGTATTAGGTTTATATCCGTTTGTAGATGTTTTAAAGTATGATCTTTTTGGGAATTTTTGTCTACTATTGCTTGTCCATTTTCTAGCAATATTGGGCTATTAAATGATGTAAATCCTAAAATATCTATCACATCTTTTAATTCCATACCACCTGTGTTAGCTAAAGCCATGGCTTCAGCCATTCCTATAATAGATATTGCTTTCATCGTATTTAAAATCAAATTCATCTTAGTAGCATACCCAATGTCAGCTTTATAAAATGAACTTTTAGCGATGGCACAAAATACTGACTGACAATCATCAAATAATTCTTTATTTCCAGCAGCAATGATAACTAAATTTCCAGATTCTGCTTCAGTTATACTTCCTTGGATCACAGCTTCCATATAACGACCTTGCTTTTTTGTAACAGCCTCATTAATATCGTTAGATGTTTTTGGATCAATACCAGTCATTTCCACAAATGATTTCCCTTTCTTTATTTCAGCAAGTATTCCACCGTTTCCAAGTACCAAATCTTTAGCAACTTTTGGGTTGGAAACACAAGAAAATATTATATCTGAACGAGAAACTACATCAGATGGAGTTAATGCACAAATAGCACCAAGATCTTCAAATTGTTTACACTTCTCCTTGGATCGATTCCATAAAACCACTGAATGCCCAGAACTCATTAGATTTTTAACAATCCTCGATCCCATGTTACCCAGTCCAATAAATCCAAATGTCATTTCACATAGATAAGTATCCTTACAAGAAATCTTTGATATGTCTGTTAGAGTAGATTTCGCCATTGTAACTTCAGGTCTGTCCAACAAAGTACTCTTTATTTGTTGTGTACCCAAGTGGTTGTTTTTTAATCCAAAATTTGTTGTATATCCGTGTTGCAAGAAAATGAATTTAGGCGTGCTCTTTTTGATTAACCATTTGTGTCATCTGAGTTAGAAGAAGACAGCGATTCTGAAATTAAAGTTTTAATTTTATTAAATAACTTTGCATGTCGATTTGTCCATTACCGCAATATAATGGTTCTGTTAAATTTATGATAAATTGTCTGACATAATTCATAATAACTAATATTTTTGGTTCTGTAAGAATAAATTTAAATTAAATTTATCAACATCTAAATTTATTCATTTTGAGTTTTATTTGTACAATGTTTTTACAAATAANATATTGACTTTTTCAATAATAATTTATGTGAATTTCTCTATATATCCAAAGAATCTAGAATTATGTTTAATATTTATTATACAATAATTATTTATATATCACTATTTAAATTTTTGAGAACTTATTAACTGGTTTATCAATTTAGGAAAGAACCTATTATATCCATTTATCTTGATTCAATGTTTATCTTAATTCTATTATAGAATATTTATTAAATTTACCTTTTCAAACATGCACTAGTATAATATATAAGGCACTGAATGTAAAAAACTTTAAATTTATTTATAATTTTTTTGTTCTGATAGATTTATTTAAATATAAACATTCAATACCAACATTTGATCATAAACATAAAACTAGATTCAAACAAAATATTAATATATGCTTACCAATTTGTACTATAGTTTTTGGTCAAAAAAGTAAATTTTATATTGGCTCAGTATTGGTAAGTACCTATACCTTCGGAGATTTCTTTACTCCCTTTTATAAAATTATCATTATAATTATAATTATTCCTTTATTAGTCAATAATTTAAACATTTCATCTAATCTGAATTTAATGGTTAATGGTACTGTCCAAAAAGAGTTGGCCATGGGTATGACACCTTTGGTTAATTTAATTCTCATTACACCTGGCAAAGTACATATACTTTCCAAGATTTCTTTATTCACTTTTATAAAATTATCAAACTCAATTGAATATTTCACATTTACTTTATTTACTCTTATAATTAAGTTTAAAGTTATTTAAGTGTTCAAACCTAATATAAGGCACAATTTAAATGATCCTATATGAACAATTTTAAATGAGTTTTAATTTTTTTTATTTATACATTCTAAAAGATCAGTACCGACTAGTTTTAGTTTATAACCACAATACGATTATATTTTAACTTTAGTTTTTATAATTTTCTTTTTTTTATTTTTAAGCTTATTATACAACCTTAATGGTAATATGTTAGTCTCTGCACCAGAATCTAATTGAAAATGTATTTCAATACCATTAACAAAAATAGTTTGAAACCATTTTTTCTCATTAATTCCATCATTTTTAATTTGATTAATTTCAAAAGTATATTTGACGTCATTGTCACTATCTGATTCATTTTCTACTGTATTAATTATGTTTTGTTTGTAAGAAGACAAGTTAAGTTATTTTGTTAGTAAAATTTTTTTTACCTTATTAGTTTTTGTTGCAGAAACTACTTTAGTTTTACACAAATTAGATATATGGTTTAATTAATTACATTTAATAAAAGTTTACCTGGTAAAGTTGGTGATGGTGACGACACTTTGTGTGTTTGTGATGTTGACGTGTCCGACTTGTATAATACATGTGTTTGTTCATAATCTGTACTTGTTTCATTATCACTGATAACATAATAAGTTATATTGCAGTGGTACCACACATAGTACATTAATGATTTTTTAATTTAATCGCCAATTATGATATTATTTTTTTTTAAATTCTTCATACACTGGTAAACTAATATAATTTAGTAATCAATGGTTACTAATTATAGTAGCATATATCTAATTATACTGATTTGCACAAATAATTTAAATTTTGGTGAGACCTTAAAAAAAAAAAAAAAAAAATTAATATCTTATTTTTTGGTTATGAAATAACCAGTTTATTGGTGTTATCATTTTACTATCAATTTCCAAGCTCTATTGAAGTCAACTTTTTATCACATTATTATTACAAAATTAAGTAATAGGTATGTTATAATATTAGAAATCATATAAACTTATAAAAAATTTTTAATATATATAATTTAATTTTAATATAATTTAATTTATCTTTCTTATGAATTATATTGTTTACATGGAAATAGAAATCAATTAAATAAAAAATTTAATTAAAATTACTAAAACAAAACACTCGACAGTTATAAAAATTAACTTATATTTTATGCATCGTAAGAAAATTGTAAAATTTTCAGTTACTTATGATTATTACTGGTATAAACACATTTTTAATTACTATTTTGGTTTTAGTGGCATACGGGTATTGAACATCTCATGATCAATTGTGTAACACCTTTTCTGAAAGGAAATCGGTGTGGGAGGTACTGTAAGGAGTTAATTTTTCGATTCTCTCGGGAGTTTCCTTATCAAATGTGAAAAACCGAAAAATAATATGGGAAAACCTAGAAAAACGTAGGAAAGACGGGAAAATCGATACATTAAAAAATATTACTAAACCTAATACATAATGCCTTTTTAATTATTTTACCATAATATGATGTATATAATTCAACTGAACTTCATTCAGAATTGGTTTTTTGTTAGCAATCCTTATCGTTGCTTATGAATATACATTAAATTCTCTTCCTATCTACTTACCCAACTTCTCACCAACAATAGTGGCTGCACCCGTCCCTATTATCCTGGGATGGCTTTTTTTTTTTTTTTAACTATTTAAGAGTATACTCAGTATACTCGTGATTTTTCAACAAAATGTTAGAATATACGGCGTATATATATAGTATACCCTATGGTAACACCACTGGTTATAACATTAACGAGACGTAATAATAATAATAACACGTGAATTACTGTTTCAAGGAGTATTACAGTGTTGAGAAGGCGCGCGTTCCTAATTTTTGAATAAAGGCTGGAACGTGTTACTTTTGAAATACTGGAACGAGGAATGAGAAAGTGTTCCTATTTACCGTGAGGAATATGAACAAAAATCCTCGTTCTTTTTTTTTTCTTATTCAATTGTTCAATATACCGTACCAATATTATATAATTGTAAATAATATGAATTTTAACAACGGTGATTATAGTATTTAATATGTCACGGAAGTAATTTAATATTGGTATTTTCAATTTAAAAATAGGTATAAGCAAATCAGTTTAACTTTACATTAATCATCGATTAATATTAATAAAATAAAAAGACAAGTTTATTTTTCAAAGAATAAGTGACGGGTACGAGATGTTTTTTTTTCAAAACTGCAAGCGAGAAACGGGAACAAGATTTTGTTTTTTTTTATTATTTGTTTACCAAAACATACGGATTTAATTCAAATATTAATGTTTGCAGTCCTTGCGAACAATGGGTACAAACAAAATTAATTTGTTTATCTTTATTATCTCGGGCGATATTGAAATGGTTACAACTTCACGGGACACCCTGTGCACCGATAAGACCGGGGACACCTGCAGTGCAGTTTACTAATCGCACCGCACTCGGCGCATAATTAATCATTCGTTAGCGTTCGAACTCTGCCCCGCGACGAAAACGATAATAAAACGTCATAATCTAACGGGTTACGGCGTTTTTGCATATTATCACGTCCCGTTCGTCGACATAATCGTAGTGCGCGTGTGCTGCGTAACGTCCGTGTATCCGTCGTTACGTTATCTGCCGCAATAAACGCGATTATCGTGTACACGACTTACACCGCGCCCACGGTCTATTGTATTGATGATAACGATAACAATAACGGTGATAATAGGTACTTATATGTATATCTACACCGATGACGACTATAATAATACTAACAACAACAATAATATTCGCGACATCTATGCGTGTGCGCGTATCTGTAATTCGTAATGCGAGGACTGTAATCACGATAATTCGCCGCGTGCGCGCGCCCGGACGGACGTTCGGGACCCGTGATGATTAAAATACGGCCGACCCGGCGCGTGTTTGTATATTATTATTATGCGATGGAACACGCAATAAATAATGATAATATTCTCCGGGATCCGCGAATCATTGCCAGGTCTAATGCTATTAATTACCGCGCGTCGCGAATGGCGAATACCGCAGACAGACCGCCGGCCGGCCGGCCGGCGGTTCAATTTGCATTTCGGGGCGACGAGGTTTTAACGAAACGCGGTGACGATGGCCGCAATTATATTATTATAATGCACGTAATATTATTCGCGTCGGGTCCGGCGGGAAACTGCCGACGGTGTGTTCCGGAGGTTAGGTTAGGTTATGAGGTTAGCGCGAGATTTCCGTGTTATTCGATCGCGAGCATCTCAAACGCGAGGCCGCCGGGACGCCCGGCATATCTCCCGGTTGGCCGCGATAAAAACGAGTTTCGGTATCGTCTAAATCCGGTACACTAATCGAATTCGAATACAGTAATGAAACACTAGATAATAGTATATACGTATAGCCGTATAATATGATTCGGTAGTCCTGTAAAGCTGTAAAACAGTGCTCGAGGGGCTGGTTACGGGTCGTCAAGAACTGAAGTGGGTTATTTAGAGGCCTTTAATAAACTGTCAGAGGACCTTACCACTAGGTCTTACCGAGTAGGATTATTTAGGGTTGATGGGCCGTCAGTGAGAACAGTTTCGAGGGAAAGTATTTGCGATAGAAAATGATAAGTTGATACGGGGCCGGTGTTATAAATATTGCCCGGGCTGTTTTTATGGGTCAGGATCAATGGACCGACAACCATTCGACCGACAGGACAATTTGACCGACAACAATTTATAATACCATGCAATTTGTATTTTTATTTTAAAAATCGATTACGCAACGATTAATCTTTGATAACGAAAAAATGAATGAAAAAAGGAAATACATTTTTGAAGTCCGACTATCATTCAGGTTTTTTCTTAGGAGAGTTTTAGGCACTAAATAAATTTTATTAGCTCGCAAATCAAAATATACAGAATCACTCGTCGCGCGCCATTGCAGTAAGCGAAATCATCATCTACGGTTTTCGAAGAGACTTGTTTTAAACAACACGCGGCGCATAAGGGATGTACGAAATAAATAATACAATTTTTATAGAGAAAAAAAAATACTTTAACTTTTTAATTCAATTTGCATAATAAATTGGACAATATCCAAAACGTTATTACGTCCGGAAGCGGATGCCAAAAGTTTGACCGTTCCGATCATCTGTGAAAAACCTAACTCAATAGTCGTAGCTGCTGCAGCTATTACAACGATAATATTTTCTTTTCATACATATATCTTTCGTGCTCCTTGGCTTGGTCGCCATTTCTTCATTATTCTCGTATAGCCGCAGATACTCGTTTTATAGTTCACTTGTATAATATTTTCTATTATTCTAATAGAAATATATTTCATATTTTCATTTTAATTTGACTTGACTGATATCAGTTAAAATAAAATAAAGTATAATGAACGATTTAACGACACCCGCAATTAATGAATATTACTATAAATCGTGTGTAAATCGTAAATAAAACTGTTACCAAACGGCTAAAAAACGAAATTTGTATAGTATATTAAATTTATTATTAACATCGTATTACGTTCCATGTTTGTTAAATATGAATTATTACTTCCACTATATAATGTACATAGGTATAAAACTTAAAATTATAAATTAAACGATAAAATACAAATTAAATATCGTGAAATATTATACAGGAAATGTACGGGTCCGATTTGTGTGGTAAAAAGTTTCTTAATCTACATCAAATACGTTCAAGGAAACAGTCATAATAGCAGTAAATATAGATACTTATGTGATTATCATAACTGCTGAAAAATTCCAGAAAAATTTGAATATTTACAGTTTTCAGTAACGAACACTGATTAAAAAAAATCGAAAAGGAACATTTTCCCCAGTAACAAAAACATAGATGTGAACCGCCACTAAGGTTGACGTATTTTTATTTATTTTATATTAAGATAAAATATACAAGACAGCTATGGAAATTTGTACTTAGTTTAAAGATAATATTTTCCTTTCAAAACTCACGTTTGGAGCAGAAAAAATGAATAATAAATCTCGGTCGCCGTCTTCTCAGATAATACTGATGAGTGATACATTACGGTGCTGGGTATAGTCTTTCGAATCTCCTGGTTCCACAACCTAAAAATAAAAAAAAAAACGTTAGTTAACGTGATTAAAAACGTTATCTTCAAACCTCCGTGGTGAGGGCTCTTTCGACGAAAATCGATACAATCAGTAGTTTATCATCGCCGAAAAAATGTCATTGTATTTATTGGACACGCGCTGTCGTCCGAAGTGATAGGTATATTCATCTGATTGTTAGCTAAAATGAACTCCTATGCAAAGGTTTTTCGGATAAAAATGTTCATTTGTTTATGAATATGAAATATGTATAGTGTCGTCGAGCGAAAGTCAAAAATTTTGTTTCGTTCGTAAAATCAGAGCAAAACTTATTGTAGAAAACGATACGAACAAAACACGTAAAAAAATAAAAATAACAATCGTATTCTATAAAAAAAAAAATTAAAAATGAAAATAATTCACACTTGATACATATTATGAACTAGCTAAGAAGTATAACATGTTACACATTTAAAATGTATGAATTAAACGGTACTTTTTTCGATGATTGTTAACTTAACAAGTTAAAAAAAAAAACAGAATGTTAATACTACTAGCGGGAGTGAATGAATTATTATGAACAAATACAAGTAAAACTAAATAAATAAAAAAAAAATTGAAAATTTCAAACGCTTAAAAAATCGCTCAATAAACGCTAGAATATTTTGAAACTTTTAAATCGTTTAGACAGGGCTAATTTAAGTAGTATTTGAAAATAAGGTCTACAATATTATATTATTATCTCAACATGGTCTATATTTCCTAAAAGCGTGTAACTCATCTTCGAGCAATTAACTCCATGTTTTGTAATTTTTTTCATAATTTTTTTAGGACTTCACTCATTAAAACAGTTTTATAAATTGGTTATTAGTTTTTATCCAGATACTTTGGGTATATAATTATAGTGACTACGGTATAGCATACCTAATTAATTTTCGGAGTATTATCGTAATATTTATTCATATTGTATTATTACTCGACGACGAATTTATACACTTTTGCGTTGTTTGTCTTTGGTTTTCGTTGCGTCCCCGCCACCGCGACTTTGTTTCCTCTTTTCGAAATGCATAATATAATATTTAAATATTGCTATTTAAAATACGCCGAGTAAGCGATAAATAGAAGCTTATTACTACGCGTCTCAGGAAAAAAAAAAAAAGAAAAAAAATGCTCTTCAGTTTGAATTTTGTCTCTGCTGTTTATTCAGAAAATATACGTCGCAATATTTATAACGGTGTACATTTAAGAGGACGTGACATCCCCTATTATTTGATTGTAAAAACCGTTTTGCCTGGGACGATTCCCGGTCTTTCCGTATTTATAGTAGAGCTACTGAAATTGCATAGCGCATTAAGAAGAACGTTATCTGTGATGTAGGGTGACCTTTTTTTTTTTTTTTCTGATTACATTAACCCATTAACCAATAATTGTTTGTATAAGTAAATACTAAGTGAGTTTAACTGTATTTATGTTAACGAACAAATAACCACGCTGCGACACAGACAAAGTTCTTTTTAACGAGCTTAGACAATTTAGCGATTCCATGCTATAAATACAAAAAGAGTTGTTCCGGGCGAATCAGTTTTTATCGTAGACATTTAATTTCAATTTAATTTATATCGCGGTTACACAATAAATGCTTGCGATATTCGCACCGGACTGCACTTAAATTTATTTGATAGTGAACCTCGATATTTTTAAGTTGATAAAATTTCCATTTTATAATTGTCTGATGATTGCCTGTACGCAACCCCTTAAATATGAGCTGTCACTCCGTCTCACAAAAGCACTACATAGCAAATTTTCGTTCAGTAGGGTGCTATTGGCTTTTACATTAGAGTGAATTAATCCTATTATCAAGCTTAAATATCAGACAATTTTTTTCTTAATATTTTATAGAACTTATAGTAGACAAACCGCGCATTGCCTTAGATCGTACTATGCTACGCGTTAAAGCTGACATTTTTCTAATACTGATAGATAACAATCAGGCACGGATCAAGAGTAAAATCTGGGGGGACAAGAATTTTTTTACAACACAAATACAATTAAAATATAAAATAATACATTATTTACATTATTTTCTCGTACGAAAATCGGAGAAATAATATGTCTAGGGGGGCAGGGCTAAGCCCCTATCCCCCCCTGTATCCGTCCCTGATAAAAATATAATGTTAATAAAATTTGTCGAACTTTAAATTATAATAATATGGACGTTATTTTCACCGTTATCATTCTCGACTCATTATCATCAAGAAGCGTTAAAGAATTATTTACTACGCGCAGTCTATACATTACGAGCCTTATATATAGTTAAAACTAAGAGCACCCCCGCTAAACGAAAATGTACCGTGTCGTGTCGTTTGTCAGACGGAGACAGCACGTGATATGGGTGTGGTATCCTCTTAGTTTTTTTTTTTTATTTTTTTTTGTAATCCCGATGACACGATTCGGGGCCGTCCGATATATTATTGTTATTACGTTCGACGTTTGTCCGTGTACCTACACTGCGTTGAAACGGCCGAGCGTGTAAAAATCTCTGCGCGCGTATTGATTGGGAGAAGAAGGACAGTGGTGAAGGCGCGGGGAGGGGGTGGGTGAGGAGAGGAGATACGGAGTTAGAGAGGGATTGGGAGGGGGGAAAAGGACCTGTACACACAGAGCGGCCATGCAGTAGTGTGCGTGTGTACGTTTGATCAAGTTAAGTGCCTTCGTTTTTAGAAATCTTTCTATGATGATTGATCGCGGCAGAAAACTTTTGACGGCTGAATGCCCGCCGTGGCCGGCTGCGCCGCGCGGCCGCGGCGGTAGGCTGGGAACGGCGGAGGGGAAAGCGATATATACCGCTGACTACCGCTCGTCAGGAGTTTATAGAAGACATTGTTATAAATTCGACAATGAGATTTATGTTAAATGGCCGAGAGTGTACTGGGAATCGCGGCGGCGGCACGATAATGCTTCTTTCTTCCGACAGGAAGCCCGAGACCGGTACCGCGTACACACACTACGCACCGACGTTGTATGGAAAACTTTCTTCATCGATTATCCGGTAACACAACGCCGCCGCCACTGCCGCCGCATCGGCCACACCGACGCGGGATTCCCGTCCGTGATCCTTAAGCCCGGGGATTACAGTGTCACTTCCGTTTTGTTTTCGTTTTCGTTTTTTTTTTTTTTTTTTATACCGGTTATTATTATCATCATATGCACACGGGGCGCAGTCGAATGAAAGTTAGTGCGCCGCATAAGGCATACCCATACCCATATAATATATACTCTCGCACGTAAATATGTAGGATCGAGTTGCGGGCGAATCCGCACGAAAGTCTATATACGGGTACTTTTAACGACCGCCCACCCCCCTTACGTATCTTCTTCCTTTTTCCACCACCACCAACCGTCACCGCGCGCACCGGATTGCCCGACCAAAC